CATGATGTCTCCAAGGCAACAAGCACCCTGACCGAATGTTTTTTGGGTCTTGAAAATGTTCTCAAAGATTGGAGAAGAAATGAAAAGGATGAAGAATTTAAATGCCAGCAGTCTGCAATTTCTCCCACCGTTAAAAGCAGTCCAGTGTTGAGACAGGTTTCTACCCTTTACACTAGGAAGTTATACTCAATCTTGGAAACACAGTTTCTACATGGCTTGTGTGTGCTTGCTGTGGAGTGCTGCCGTACTACGGATTCAGAATTTCATATCCGAACTCTCGATAATAAGGACAGAGTCAGGCCCTGGATTGTTAAAGTGGACAATTGTAATTCTGATATTACGTGTAGTTGTAAAAAGTTTGAAATGATAGGTTTATTATGTGCTCACGCTCTAAGGGTTCTGCAGCACAAAAATATTACAAAAATCCCTGATAAATATATTTTACTTCGGTGGACTATTAATGCGAAAAGGGACATATATAACAGTTATGGTTATGCAAATCGAAGAGTTTCAGAAATGTTGTCAAATTCTGCAAGTGTACCATTTATCTCAACCACATTCATAAATTTGCATACCAGATCGGCACCATATCACGAGGCCATGAACTTGCAGAGAAGATAGTGTTGGAGGGATTTAACAAAATTAAAATCGATGTCGAAGCCGCTATGAGTGGACGAGACCATCCTGAAAAGTCAAAATCGAAGAAGAAGAAGACACCCAGTAAAGAGCGAAATGTGAATGATCCCACGAAGATGCGGCCAAAAGGAATATCCAATGCAAGACTAAAAGGGTACTGGGAAAAAAACAAGAGATGCAAAAGTAAATGTTACCTAAAGTATCAAGTTATGTATTTTTTGTATATAAAAGATGACTCACTAACAGGTAGTATTGTATACAGGAAAGCAGGAAGATAATGTTTTAAGCCATGATAACATTCCAGAATGTGATCCAGATTTATTTTTAATGACGGATCACTTTACTCAGGTTGTGGAATCGATCCTTCTGAAATTTTGTCTGCTCGATTTAGACTTCTTTCCCGATATTAACTCGTTAATATTATCAATGTACATGAATTTTCTCAAACAGAACAACTGGAGGCATACACGAGCTTACTGATGGGCATAAATGATAATATATAGAGTACTTATTGTTAAAATTATTGTATTATTGCTGCTGAAGTTGAAATAGACATTTGTTGTACTATGTTTTTATTTACGAGTTATTATGGCGGCATATTCCCTTAAAACAGATGACGTTCTACCA